CATGGCCACATCATCCACACAACACAACGGAACCTCATCGGCCAAAGGCCCAAAACGTCATTAGCAACGGCCAAAAAGCCACTAGAGGCAAGGACACTCATCGTCCTCCGCCAAACAACTAATCTTGACGGGCCCTTCGGCCAAGAACACGAAGGCCAACCAGCAACGGCCAAAAGGAGTGCGCGAGCACCCTCATCGGCCACACAAAGAAAATGATGCCATCGCCCTCAAAGCAAGGAACAAACCCAACGGCTTCACCGGCCCAAACAAACTTCAACCACCAACGTCCAGGAAAGGGAAAGCGCGCCTTCAACGTCCACCATTGAAAGAAAGACACTCATCGTCCCAAAACAAATTAAGGAAACAACGGCCTCCCCGCCACAGCGAGGAACAGGTAACGGCCAAGGCACAGAACAGGATCACCAAAGAGGAAACAACGTCAACGCCGCAACGGCTAACGGCCTGGAAATGCCCGCGTCGACCAAAAGCAACAAAGCACAGAAATCTACTCTCCTTCACTTCGTCTACGTCTCAGCTTAGAGAGTGGGGGACTCCTGATGGAGTATATGGGTCAGAGCCCCAGGACCCACATACCCGGAAGAACAGAGCACAAGACAACGGAGTGGCGCCCTCGTCGGCCAAGACGCCCCCGTCGGCCGAAAAGGGGCCAGCTCGGATTACGGTCCTGAGTCCAAGGAACCCGGGTGCCCTCGTCGGCCGTGCCCTCGTCGGCCGTGCCCTCGTCGGCCACACCCTCGTCGGCCACGCCCTCGTCGGCCACGAGGACCTCCCAGAATCGGATCCTATACTTACTCATTTGTACAGCCCAGTAGAGGCTTTGTATCCGGCCCAGTAGCGGTCCAGTTGTAAATGGGCCTCCCAAGCCCAAGGCTTGGGGGCCCAACCCTAATTTTCTCTATAAATACTCCCCTTGGGAGTAGTTATAGGGGTTACAAAATCATTCCATTGAAGCATATTATTGCACTTCTCTCTCTAGCTCTCACTTCTCTCTAGAATCTAGGAGTTAATACTCTATCATCGTGTATTTATTACTCATGAAAATTTTTGAACAAAAATTATCCGCAAAGTCCTATACTAGCGAAAAAAATTCGCCCCGCTACCCTAGCAAAAAAAAAAATTCACCCTGCTACAATAGCGGAAAAATGTTCACCATCTCAACATTAACGAACAAAAATTTCGCCCCCCTTGACTAAAAATCCTGGATCCGTCCCTGCGTACTTAGAGCATCTCCAATGCAAAAACATGAACGGTGCATACGTGGCATTAGAGATAGCCAATTAAAAAACAACAAACAGAATATATCTCTCCTTATTTGAACGTCTTATATGTTTTTGGTAAGTTTTTCTCTACAATATCAAGCACAATGTCTAGATGTAGACATTGAGATAGACATTGTTAAGAAAAACTTACCAAAACACATTAGACCGTGAACAGAAGGAGAAATAAATGTCAAAAATTTAATCTTTTGTTTCTATGTCACACGTTTACCGTGCACATTGTATCTCTCACGCCAAAAACATGGCCTTATTAGGCGCGCACTTCATGTTTTAAACATGGCTTTATTGTTTCTGAAGTAACCACATCATTTTTTTTAAGCTGGAGAAGTGAAGAACTATAAACTCACTAGTGGTTTGGATAATATGCGGTGAGGTGTACCGTGTACGGTACCACTTTACCGGAATGGTGGTTCCAACTTGTAGTCGATTAATAAAATAAGAGGATATTTGGAACTGAAACAGAATCAGAATCCGTTTTCAGAAGTTGGTCACCCCCGGCTTCTAAAAAACTGATTTTAGGAGTAAATTAGAGCACTAGAATCACTTCTGCACTTTCACCCAAACACTCCAACTTCTGCTTTTGCTTCAACTTTAGCGAAGTTAAAAAAATTCCGTCGATAACCGTCTCAAATGGCGAATGGCGGACAGAGCCTCCTATAAAAGGAGTGATTTGCAATTTTTCGGTTAGTTCGAAAGCTTATTTGCCCCTTTTCCCTTTATATAAAGATACACCTTTCGCTTTCAAAATAAATGAATAAATTAATGGCACAAATGGTATGATTAGATACTCTTTTGAAAAAACTAAAAAAAAAATCACATTTTTCTTTCATACGTAGTATTTATTTTAGTAAAAATCAAAGAGGCAAAGACTTATGGACGGTACATTATTCTGGGCCTATATCCAAGACAAACCGTAAACCATATACTTATTTGAAATATGAATTATAATACAAGTATCCAATGAAGTTCATAAAATAAAGGTGATAATCACTTTATTATTATTATTATTATTATTATTTAAGTCATATATTTGGACGAAAGTAACAACACGAGTATCGGATAAAAAGAAAAAAACATTACTAAAAAACGTTTCTCGTAGAACAATGTGAAGCAAATCATCAATAATCGCTTCATAGGCTTCTTTCCACTAATAAATATGACAAATAATAAAATTACCACATATAACAACACTAAACTTTCTTTTGAAAGGATAAATGAAAAAAAAAATACTCTCTCTATCCCAAAAAGGTTCGCCAAATTGACTTTTCTTGGTCAATGACAATCAACTTTGACTAAAAATATGTTTTAATACGAATTTTTTTGAATATGAAATTTATATCAAAATGTACCTTATTCAATATTTTTTTGAAGACTAAAGAGGCGTGTCTTTTATTGATGCATCAACAATTGTATTTATTTTAAAAACTACAACCGATCCTACTTAAAATTAATGTATATATATTCTTTTTTAGTTTGGCCCTCTTTAAGACTTTTTATTTATATTTTAAATTTTCAAATTGTCAGCAAAATTAAATATTAGTCTAATTAATTGAACTTAAGAATAAAAAAAGAAGCCTACTCAAACTATATATAAAGAAAAAATGTTGGGCCTATTTTGTCTTCTATTTTTTTCGGGCCTAAGGCGGTCGCCCCTCTCGCCCCCCCCCCCCCCCCCCCCCCCCCTCAGAACCAGCCCTGGCGATACTCAATTCTTTTTCGCTCCACGTGGAGGTTGCACCGGTCCACCGGAATAAATGGTTAATTATCAAAATAGGACTAAAAGTCACTCACTTTGTACAAATCGGACCAAAAAATAAACTATGTTTTCATAGGACTAATTATGTGTGTGTCTTGGACAAATATACCCGTATAGCTATTGAAATGTTTTAATTCATAATAAAATAATACAAAATAATAAAAATTCATAAAAAATACTAAAACAATAATAAAAATATTTCGATAACAATAATTTATTTATTTATTTTCAAAAAATTAAAAAAAATTAAAAAAAAAACTCAAAAAAATAAAATAAAATTCAACGCCGCCTCTGCCGCCTCTGCACCACCACCTCCAGTCACCAGGGGAAAAAATAAATAAATAAAATAATTTATTTATTTATTTATTTATGGTAGAAAACAATGAAAATGTTGGCATTCTCAAAGAGAAATATGCCATTTTTTTGGCATTTTCAGGAAAAAAATGACAGTTTTTAGGAAAAATGGCATTTTTTTCACCGGCCAAAGATGGTGGTGCAGGGAGGTAGTACAGGCGGTGAGAAAGGAATCCATATATTTTTTAATTTTTTTATGGAGTTTTACTATTTTTTATTAATCTAAAAAAAATTTAAAAAAAATAATTTTTTATTTTATAAATATTTTATAAAGTTTTTAATTATTTTTCTATGAATTTTTGATTTTTTTTTCGAATTTATTATGAATTAAACATTTAATTAACTCATATTTAAAGGAAGGGTAAGAATGGAATAAAAAAATAGGTATGTTTCCAATAGGACTAATATGGTCCTATCTTGAAAAGAAGAACATAGTAAATCCTATTTTGAGTTTTTGCCATAGTTTTAGTCCTATTTAGAGTAATTTCTATTAGTTAAATAGGATTAAACAAATTATTTATGAACCGGTGTGGCTCGCTGTCTACTTAGAGCATCCACATTCATGCCACTTAAATGAACGGATTTTTAATGACACGTAGATTGACACGTAGATTTTTTCAAAATAATCTCACACTTTCTAAATTACACCATTAATCGTCTCAAAATAATCAGATCTTTTGTGGGTCCTGCACTCACCAATTAATACTAGCTGCACAATAATCTGGAGATAATCTGGATTCATATTTCAATCCAGGATTATTTTATTAAATAATCTCACCAAATAATCTTTATCACTCAATCATGATCTCATAAATAATCTGCCTCATCACCATCAATAAACAATATAAATACAATCTATTTTTTTTCATTTCACATTTACCATCTTTCCTCCGCACTCTTTTCGTCTCTCCTCTCTTCTCCTCACAGATCCTCCTCCCCAGTCCCCACACAATCTTTTTCTTTTTCTTTCTTTTTCATTTTATCTTCATCACCTTCATCTTCATCCCTTCCATCTTCATAATCTTGTGTCATCTTTCATTTCCATGACCATCTTCCATCATCATCGTTTTCTATGTTTCCACTTCATCTTTCAATTTTTAAGATTCGCGTAGATGGAGAGTCACCGGAAAATCAAACGGGAGATGATAAATTGTTGAATATTTGTCTATATCGTGTATAAAAATCATCTGTCTTACAAAGTTTTAATAAAATTTGTCTTTATGAAGAAATAAAATTTGGTAACATTTGGCATTTGTGAATTGTGATGAAGTGAAAAAAATCAACATAAACTTATCGAGGGTGAACCAATAATTTATTTTTCCCACCATTTTCTTTCCTTTCAAGATTATTCTATTATTTTCTTCCTATTTTCTTGCCCTAGAATTTTAGACATCAAAAATAAATTTTAAAACGATTTTAAATATAGAGCTTTCTTGCAAGGATTCTCAATAAATAAGACGAAGACTCAGCCTATTAACATTTCAAACGCTTGCTTATAAGTGCAGCTCAAGGACATCATAGCCAGGAAAATAAATAAGCCATCTTTTTATCAATTTTATGGATGCAAATAATGGTGGGAAAATCAGTATGTCTACGCAGGAAAATTGAACAGCTTGTTATTACTTTTTCTAAGCAACCCCAAGCTCTAAACAGACCAATACAACTGAAATTAATCTCATTTCCAGCAAATTACCATTTGTACCAATGATAGTTACAACCATTAATAACTAGGCATACACATTAAGATCATATTTTCATCTACCAATCTCACACTATGTAAGAGTGTGAGACAGGTGAATTTTTGCCAAGGAAACCTAGCTTTTAAACGCCTTCACCTAAGAAAACACAACCAACTGTATCTTTCTAAAACTAGCAGAGAGATCAACAAATAAACTAGTAAAATAAAAATAACCTCTCCTCTCAAATCCCCAACGGCACAAGCGCTTAGTGATGACTGACGAGGACTTCAATTCTCGTCGGGCAACCGATTCGATCAATAATTGACTGCACGATTTGTGTGACTTTGCAATGCTGTGATTCACACACCAATCAATCTCATAGGTGAAGAAAGTATAAAGCCCCCCCGGTCCGCCGGATCAATGAAAGGAAAACCAACAAACGAACAAAAAAATAGGATAATTCTAAAGTTCCATGACCCCTCTGCTACTCATTTACATTACACAATGATACTCTCTAAGATCATCTTGAACTAGAAGTCTAGAACATAATATCTAAAAAATCTGGATTCGAAGCCGCCTGGAATCCACAGGAATATATATCATATACCCACAATCCACACAAATGCAGATTGACCATCATCATCAGCCCATAATCTCTGTAAATTGTTAGGGTTCATGCTCGAAACTCACAGATGAAACCAAATCTGATCACAGATGGGTTCAGTTCTCAGTTACATATATTCAGAGTAGTATGACATTAAACTAAATTCAGAAATCAATTACTCAACAAAATCAATTACATCAGGGACTAGCGGATAGTAATAATTCATGAGGGCAGCACAATAATGGAGCTGCATTGACAGAAAACAGAACGGCATCACATTTCTATGATGATATATATTAGCCGACATAATCACATTTAGTGCTACAGGTTTGTTAACTTTGTTTGGTAACATTTGGCATTTGTGAAATTTTGTGTTTTCAAGTGCTTCGGTTATGGTTTCAAATTTCTAAGAAATGAGTCTGGTTTCACCGCTGCTTCTTGGAACCATCACTTCTAGCTACATACACACACACACATATTCATTTGTTGTTTTAACTGAGTTTCACATATTAGCACGGTGATTTGGTTCACTTGCCAGCAAGAAAGAAAAGGGAAAGGGAACTCCAGAGGTGCAGGGATGGTCATCTTCGACTCGGTGCAGAGCAGGGAGCCGACCAGCTTTCTTTTCCGGCTGGGGGGCAACGCAGTGGCGATCTGCTCCAGCAGTCTTCCTCCACCAGGGTCTAGGAGGCTGCCACCGGGGTGAACTGAACCGTCATCACAGGCTTGGGGGCGAGCCAGAAAGTTCAAAATTCAAATGGAAACCATTGGTTCACATCAACCATAAATTCTAACCGTATCCACAGTTCTTCCAGTAGCAGAAAAGCTCTCTCTATCAAAATTGAAAGCAAACCTTCCAACTTGCTTCAGAATCTTCTGGTATGTGTATCAGCCAAATCAAGAATGGACATTACCAAAGTATTTTTCTGAATACCGAGATTTTAATTGGTTTTACAACTCGTTTTTTCAAATGCACTCGGGGGCATCTTGGACTATCTACAAAGTTTCGTCTATCTTTTGATGAAAACGAGTTTGGAAAATTTATTTGTTTGGTAGAAATTGACATTCAGTGCAGAACTACATTAATAATTCCTGAAGGTTGGCGAGGAGATGGATTTAGATGTTTTGGATCGGCCTTATGTAACCAGAAGGAGCTGATGGATAATTTTTTGAATGAACATTTTGAGACCCAGGTGGAGGAGCTTGGGTGTCCGATGGCCTGTTCCTCTGAACCCATACCGTCCCCAGATTTAAGATTTTGTTCTACTCTAACGGAAACTGACAGCGAGTGTTTGGAATCTATCTCTACCATGCTCTTCCTTGAAGACTTGCATTCTTTAGGCTATCACTCTTTTTCCGAAGAAGAGAATCCTAAGGGAAGTTTGTTTGGGAGTGAGGAATTTCTTTCGACTATGGTTAGAGCTAATGAAGAGCCAGCACAAGGGGAGGTTACAATCACGAATATAATTCATCATCATCATTACCCCAGTGCCGCAAAGGCTCCCACCTACGGTGGGGTAGGGGGGTCGGATGTACGCAGCCTTACCCCTATACTAAAGCACAGAGAGACTGTTTCTGGATGACCCAAGGTGAAAATTGCGTCGAAAATTGCATGGACTGACTGCTGCATAACAAAAAAGCGCAAACAGTTTAATGAGCCATTTTACTTTCTCATTACATTCCCAAGCCAAAAAATAGTGAATCTTTGGCTCCTTTGCAAATGATGGTAAAACAACTGGGGATAATAATACTTTTGTTTGTCAAGTTAGGGATAAATCAGCTGGGGATAATACTAATGTTTGTCAAGTGGAGGCTACCATTGAGGCAACACCTCTTCAAGTCTTTTTTCCTTCTAAGTTGCAAGAGATTGCGGGTAATGACTTGTCGAGTGATGAAGAGATAACCTTTGTTCGGAGGCAACTTACAGACAAAGAGTTGCTGGATCGTTTAAGTGAGCTTGTTATTAGCTTCCCAGGCTATCGACTTGAACCAAGAAGAAGTGCTCGGATTAAAGCAAAACAATTGGTTGAGTAATAGATGGTTCAAGGCTTTCTGCATTTTTAGGGTGTCTTTTCGGATTTGGGCTTTTGGACTCGCACTAGGATTCTCGCCTGGGACTTTGTGAAGCTTACTATGAAGTTGGGGAGTCGGGTTTGGTTTTTTTCTTTTGCATTTTCATTTCTCATTTGCATTTCTTTTTCATTCGCTTTTCCTTGTCGCTTTAGTTTTCTTCTTTCATTAGCGTATGTCAATCCTTTTAACAAACTTTGGATTCTTTCGAAAAAACTGAATTTAACATATTTAACATGTTTCAGACACTTTCTAAACCACATTATCTATATTGACTAAAACTTAGCTTCTTTTGTTCAAATAATACTTTTTTTAGATGGAGAGTATAAGTGTGATTCTTGGAAAGAAAAAGATACAGTTAATGTTAAAACTGGAAGCATGTTTTCGAGAATAATGAAAACAACAAATTATTTTGCCCAACGAATTTCGTAATATTAAAATGCTTCGTGTTTTCTTGTTTCTGTTTTCAGAAGGAAAAACATAAAAAAATAAAAAATAAAAGACAGAATAAAATAAAATCACCAAACATTGGCTAAAACAATATCCTAGTAAAATCATGTCCAACAAAAAAGTGCCAAACGAGAACAATTACCTCGGTTTATGAAGACTTGGCGGTAAGAATCCGGGAAATCTGAAGACCCCTGCTGAAAGCCTCGTTGAACAGTATCCTTGTCTGCATGGACTGAAATCCAGGCATCCAAGACAAGAAGGCCAAGGGAGCCATGACGATCAACCCAAATATCATATCATACAAACGGGCCAAGGAAACAACAGTTACCCAAACCACACTAGTCTCCAGAAATGGCCTGAGCACAAGGGCAATTTGGATAACACCCCACCCGGTAGGTATAAATGCCAACAAACTACTGATGAAGTCGAGGACCTCAAACGCAGTGAATTTCAGCAATAAAACAATAACCATTACAGTAAGCACAATGACCAACAATTGCACCAAACGGTAATAGATATGTTGCTTCATGGCATATTTTTCATTTGCATATCCAATGGCGATATAAATTGCAAGAGCCGCAAGCATGAAGATCCAAGACAACAAGTAAACAGAAATGCTCGTTCTACCACCAGTAATCTTCAGTTGGTACACCACCCCATACTGGAAGAAGAAGAAACGCAGGTCTAATATAATCTCCAGAAGCTTTCCCCAAAGCCCAGTCATTCGTAAGTGGTCCTGTTCCTCATACCACCATGTTTCCCAACTCTGGTCTGCTTTTGCAAACACTCCTTTGGTAGACCAAACCCAATTCATGAAATCCTCATAGTCATACACAGTGTTCAACCAGTCAAAGCCAGTGGGGTTGAAAACAAAAGGGGCCATGATCCAGGACAGTACGAGGAACCAGCTCGAGATGGTCATGGCTATATACACAAAAGTGTCCCTGCCCAAGGGACTGTTTGAGGCGTACACTATGAGAATGACGCCAAGTTCAATCCCCTTCACGAAATGGCTGCGAGAGTACAACCTGTAGTTCTCTGTAAAGCTCTTGTGCTGGACGACAAAACCACGCCCGGTCGCCCGGTACTTCGCACCGCCGTGCAGAATAGTCCGACCGAAGAAATGAGCACGGGTTCCCATTGAGAAAGTGTAGAACAGTGAGGAGAGCTGCAATTGCATCGTTAGATAATCCCAAACGGCCGAAAGGAATCCGTGTTCCAGAGAGTTCTCAACTATCATAGGAAGGGCAGTGAGTGCGCCGATCTGGATCAAGAACTGTTGGTTCACAATCGCCCCTAGGGCTTTATTATTGGTGGCATTGCTCCTGGCATGATCTTCAACGCCACTTAGTGCAAGGTAAAGACGGCCCCACAGGAAGGCATACACCATAATCACCACCACCATATTGTTAAAGAAGAAGCCAACAGTTGTGTAGAAGAAAGAGAGCATGCGGAAGAAATCCAGCCTGTGCCCCAACCTGTACACATCTCTGCTCAAAACTTGTTCGCCATTCCCACTAGCAACCTTAGCCTCAAACATGGATATCTGATTCAACCCCACATCCCTCCCTTTACCGACTTGTATGTATTCATGGTGAGTGACATTCCCACCTCTAAGAGTACAGTTAAAACCAGCAAATATGTCCTCACTAATATTAATCACCCTTGAGGCTTTGCTAATGCCGCCTCTAGACAGGAACCAGAATCGATCAAAGACATCAGGGTGGCCATAGTGCATCCGTATCTTAAGAGGATTTGCAAGAACCCGCTGTCCGAGGGTGACGAAACTTGTTTCCTGAGCAGACATGAACCAAGCAAGGGATGAGACCGAACCGGTGAAGATATTTTCACGTACCCCTAAAATAGTGGGCTTCCTGATTCCATGGTGGACTTTGAATTCCTCTAAAAGATTTCTCATCTTGAGAGCCTCTTCGAAGTAATTATCTTGATTCATGTCAATTGTTTGAACGGCATCACCTCTGGTGAAGATAATCGCATGGTTTTGATTCTCTGGCTTACCCTCCCCGAGTTTCAATGGACCTGGCAACTTTATGCGGTATATCTCAACCTCTTTCTTCAGTACTTGGTCATACTTCACCAAGACAGAATAATACTCCACGGCATCTCTCCCCAGGTGTACCTCGTCAACATACGCGACCCGAAGTGCTTCATTATTCCTCATCAAGTAGGATATCTCCTCTGCACGGGGATCACCCTTACTCTTCTGAATTCCATACACTTGACAGGTCAGCACATAAGTGAATTTCATCAATGCATCCCCAAATTCACGTCCTTTAAAAAGAAGTGTCACACTGCTACTCCTCGCCCTCTGAAGATTTTGAGGAACATCTAGATTTCCAGAAGCTTCCAGCGACCCATTGTGTCTAACGTCCACCTCAGATGCAGAGTCGAGGAAAGAAAGCATCTTTAAAGCCCTGTAATAATACATCATCCCTCTAACAGTACGTGACAATGTCTGGCCCCTATAAGATGCCCACAAACGAAGATCCCTTGCTCTGGTATTCCATAGCTCGCTCTCATCCTCCATTCCCTCCCTACGCATCCGTTCTACAAAGTTTGCCCACTCATCTTCGTAAATCTTCTGAAGGTAAAATATGATAGAGATACCATCTTGATTTGGACTTCGAAGGCTTTCTTTCCCATATACCACTTCTTCATCATAGTAAGGGGTTAAGACACTGAACGCCATCATTTTCTCAACCTGGGTGGCTCGCGGGATATTCATAAAAAGTGAATTACTGAAGAAAGCAATACGTCGTCTGGCTTCTAAGTTTTTGGGGACATTATGCATTGAGTCTCTGGAAGTGAGAATTGTATGGAGTCGCCTTAGCTGCCTGTAAAAAAAAACATCTTCAGCATGGGGGAGATTGACGGCGTTTTCAAACAGAAGCCCTGTAGAGATGGTGGGGTCCGAATTACGGGGTGCGAGGCCTTCCTGTATCAGCTGCACTGTGGTCTTCTTTACTCTTGGAAATTCTCGGACTGAGAGTTCATATATCGCTTGCAGTACATTAACAACCTTACTCAAGTCCTGATGTGGCAAAAGCAGAAGCCCGACTAGAGACGCCAACTTTTCATGAATCAGAGGCAGAACTGCTGTCTTATATACCTGATGTTTTATAACATTAAAGTAGAATTTCCTTAATTTCCTTTTCAGGACACATTCTTTCTTTTTGCATAAAATGCAACTTTTTACTGAGTTGAGTGAGTCATCATCAAGAACAAATTAAAAGGTCAAGGATAAATGTTGCTACCCTTGTACTATTGTGCCCAGTCAAGCCAGAAAGATAAAAAAGTGATGAATGCGGTAATTAATTAACTTAAGCATAATATTATATTTAGGGAAATTTAAGGGGACAGTTATGGCACAAAGGATGACAAACGTGAATTTCGCACTCCCTCCCGTCCAAAACAACTACAACATTGAAGAAGTGACTAATTTCAAAATATCTATCTTCTTCTCATGTTTCCCTTCTCTTCAGTGGCGGGACCCATGAAATTTATATGGGGGTCCATAGACTCAGTGGCGGGCCCATGAAATTTATGTAGGGGGACCTAGACTCGGTGGCGTATCCATAAATTTTTTGGGTGGTGGCCAACTTACACTAGAACTTAGTCACATATTCACAAATATCAAATCACATTATTAATATTGTTTGATTAAACTTAGTTTAAGTTATATATGTACAAGTATGTATAAAAAGAAGATCAATTTATATTATGTGTTTGCAAAGATGCAATTGTAGATAATGTTTGAGAAAATTACCTAAATAGAAGTTAAAAAAATCAATGAATTTTTCATCATTTCATTCTTTTAATAGGATTTATAGGGAAGAAAACACTCTTAATCCTGTTTTAGAATTTTTCCTATGTTTAACTACTATTTTGAGCAATTTCCCATAAAATTTTAGATTATATATAGGGGCAGGGTTGGGGTTGGAGGGGGCAACTGCCCCCACAATGGATACGCCCCTCGTCATACTTAAAACAAAATAATTGTAGAAGTTCATTATTTAAAATTTTTTATATACTACCTCATAGGCCCGTAGTATACAAAATGAATCATTAGAATAGTACCCAGTAGACAAAAAAATCAAGAAGAAGAGACATATATAATTACAAAAGAGTAAAGCTAATACCTTAAAATTGTGTCCGGCATTCCTCCAAAGAGATAAATTCCTTAATCACAGGTTTTGAGTCAAAAGCTTATGAGAATTGCCTCATTTTATTTTCATACAGAGTATAGAGTATTAGAGTACATGTCACTTTGAATTTCTATTTTTAGGAATTGGACTAGCCCTCAAATTTTCAGATTTTTGTTTAAAAGAACACACAACCACTCATAATAAATAGATATATATAGACTATGTATCACTTTTTAACTTTTAATTTCTATTTTTTTATTTCTTTCATTGTTTACCCTAAGTAAATATTTAATTAAAATTTGGGAAAGCAAATGTTACATTTACTTATATTTTGGGGTTTTTTTTTTTGGGGGGGGGGGGGGGGGGGGGATTTTATTTTTCTCATATATATAATGAAAAAATATATACATTTTTTTTGGGGGGGGGCGTTGCCCCATAGGCCTCTACTACAGTCCGCCCTTGCTTTTCTTGAATATCATGCATGGGAGTAGCATACACATTTTGAGATCTCTATAAAAGGACAATGTGGTCACTTTTTGCATATTATTATACCTATTAAATGAGTTTCTTAATATGTGTGAAAGTAGTGAAACAACCTTATATGACAGTGAGTTATTTTGAACCGCAGGAAGTAATAAAAGAAAAGTCACTTGTTGTCTAGCATACCTTCATGAACTGTTCAAACCGGATGGAATCATCAATGTCCTTGAACAGTTTCGTGACAATGGAGTGTTCTTCGGTGCCATACTTAATGAGCTCAAGAAATACGTATTTGATGCTATCATAAGCCTCGATGACAGCACACCGTCTGTATTCGTACTTGCATAATCTGAACCACACCCACTTATCCGGTGCATCCCCCAACTCCTTTGCATGGCTGAGAGCAAGAAGCAGTTCGTTGCAGAGGAGAACGCACGGCCAACGGATGACCTTAATATCCCAACAGTTTTGTGGCAATTCAAGCAGCTCCATCTCTTGATCACTCAGGAGGTCTTCCTCCCTCATGGTTATCACTATCTCATTCCATATCAAGGCAAACCTTGTGGCATCCACCTGACTTGATTCAATTTTCTTGAATGGCTGCCCGAGTCCGTACCTAAGTTTCAGCCTATGGACAGCATCCCGTAATTTGTTGACAAGTGTCGCCTTGTCATTTATCATCTGATCCTCGGCCATCAGATTGAACTGCAATGCGCTTGCAAAAAATTGAAACCGGAGCCTTAACTGTTTTATATTCCGGATCTCGCCTATGTGTGAGAAAAGTCCTATTGTGCCCCCAACAGCTGAAGAAAACACCGTGTACCAGATCTGCAAATCCACAAGATATATCAGGACAACCGGGACCCACAGCATCACAACTGCAATCTCGTTCGTGCTGCTGAAGAACTCGTGCCACTTGTACTTTATGTTTTGGTGGTTGAGATCCATGAGAGCCTTTGTTGGGGTGACAAGTGGCTTTATCTGAAGAAAGTAACTGAAAGAGAACTTCGAAGCCAGTACTGCTATCCAGAACAGTGTGTACTTAACGTTGTTGATGACCCCTTCCCTGAGTCCACGGCCAACGTATATGTGGCTGTAAAACCACCATGTTATCAAGTACATAAACGGAATGTTGGCTTCTTCTAGAAGGTTCCGGATCCACGGAATAATGAATAGAACAAGGGCGAGCAGCTCTGGAGTAATAAACACAAGGGCAGTTTTGAGAAAGAATATAATCCTTTCGTTGGCTTCATCTGACCATCTCCCATCGGAATTCTTCTGGCTCCAAATCCTTCCATAGAACACTCCGAAGATAATGGTCCAAGTAACAGAAACAACACTCTTCAACACCATCCTCACGCATATCCACATCGTCTCTTTAGAAACCAGACTATATTGAGTTCCAGCATCAAGAATTGACTGGATAAACCTTAAGCCTGCCCATGTTATAAATAAAGAAAGCAACTTCACCTGAACATCCTTACTTTCAAGAGCTTGCCATGGAAACTCTGTTCTTTCCCAAGCAACAATAGTAGCAGCCTGGAAGAACAATATCAACAAAACCCATAGTCTGTCGAAGCTTCTAAACAGATTCCAAAATGTCCTTTGCTCAACGAACCCCGTTTTCCCCACTCTTTGCTCATCACTAAGACTGAAAAAAGTACAAGATGTATCAAGAGGCCATTTCAGCCTCTTGAAGCATCTTCTACTCCAGAAATACTCATTTATATCGTCATAGTTCCTCCAGGCTGAATGTGGGGCAGTCCCATTTCTACTCCTCTCAACCTCACGCTTAACCGCACTGTAAATAGGTGTGATAACACCATCCAAAAATCCAAACTGCTTGCAAGTCCAAGGAACGTAAGGTTGTCCTGTGTTTTCATCAATGTGACCATCAAGGATGTAATTAAGTTCCATGGCCATGTGATGGTATATGTAACATAAACACTCGGGGGTGAAGCGGAGATTAGCTGCCTCCCCCCAAATCAACAAATAGAGACTTGCATACAACAGCTCACGGCGAAGAACCTCAAGACCTTGCCTAGTCTTTGAGAGCCGAATTTGGGACTTTTTGCAATGGAAGGAGCACCAAGAGCTGTAGTTTTTGAGGAGTTTCTGGCGGAAGTGGCGAAGAACGTTGGGGTCAAGTCGGTCGGGGGCTGAGGGCGGTGGCTGGAGGCGCATTTGGGAGTTCGCCAAGTGAAGAACCAAGTGCTCCCTCTGGTTCTTCACGTTGTCGTCTTGAAAACCGAAGAATAGCCCCAGCCAGTTCATGAGGTCCAGAGACTCTCGCCACTGTATGAATGGTGGCTTTCGGAGGTCGCCGACGAAGCGCAAGACGGAAGCAGCGGCCCGTACCTCCGGGAACCGGAGAGAAGGGTGGTCAGCTAATAGGTTATGAATCGGAATGATATTGAATGGCTCGTAATACGGCGGAGGCGGCGCGTATGGCTGCTCCTGGCCGCGAGCCGCCTGGGGACGCGGCCGTAGGTTCATCGCATTAGCGCCCAGAGCAAGTCAAGACAAGTGGTCTCCTCGAGAACCTTATTTCCAGAAAATTCACACAAATTATTGACGTCCGGAGCAGTGAGCAAGAAAAAAACAATCCACAGACGTGTAGAACTACATACCAGTGAGTGAGGCACTGAGGCTGATTCTCCTATCTCTATACCCCATAGTGAATAGTGTGAGTGGCGAATAAGGGGCCTTCTATCTGCTGAAAACTAGGTGAAAAGGCGAGGCCTTTCCGGCCTAGTTTATCTTTTAGCTGCAAGTAGAGAAACAACTCAAACAAAGAAAAAGAGAAGACTATGCACAAATAGTTAATTAACAAAATATGACAAATAGGATAAAAAATTAACTATATTTTTATAAGATTAATTATGTGTTTGTTGAACAAATATAATCTTATATTTGTTAATTATGTGTTTGTTGAAATATTTTATATTCATAATAAAATAATAAAAATTCATAAAAAATACTAAAAATTAACAAAAATATTTACATAACAATAATTAAAAAAAAAAGCACAAAAGAAAATTCACCACCACCTCTACCGTCCTAGCACCACCACCTCCAGTCAACAGGGGGAAAAAATGCCACATTCATTACGAATGTCATATTTATGGCAGATTCAATGAAAATTTTGGCATTCTCAAAGAGTAATATGTCTTTTTTGGCATTTTCAGAAAAAGAATGGCTGTTTTTAGAAACAGTGACATTTTTTACACCGGTCGAAGGTGGTGGTGCAGGAGGGCAGTGCAGACGGTGGGAAAGGCATCCATAATTTTTCTAATATTTTATGGTGTTTTACTATTTTTTATTAATTTTAAAAAAAAATGATTTTTTATTTTATAAATATTTTATTAATTTTTTTTATTATATTTCGATGATTTTTTTTATTTTTTACGAATTTATATGAATTAAAACATTTAATTATGACTTTTGACTACCTTTTACTCATATTTAAGGGAGGGGTAAGAATGGAATGAAAAAATAGGTATGTTTCCCATAGGACTAGTATGGTCCTATTTTGGAATAAAAATATAACAAATCCTATTTTGAGTTTTTGTCATAGTTTTAGTCTTATTTGAAGTAATTTCCAAAAAGAAAACAAAAGAAATAGAAGTCAGTTTTTTAGCCAAGTGATATTCCACCCAACCTTCTAAAATAGATAGTACTCCCTCCATCCCTGAAAGTTCTTCTCACTTTCCTTTTTGGGTTGTTGCAAAAAATTCTTCCCACTTACTAAAAAAGGAAACTATCTACTACTAAAACCCCTATTTTGTCCCTTTGATATTTACCCTTCATTTACTCTCTTTTCCACTTACTCTCTTTCCTGTCTTTGTTCGGTCCATTGATTGTTCACTCTCTCGCATTATATCACTCTCTCTCTCTGTCTCTCAGACTTCCGATGCATCGCCTCCCCTCCTACACTCTTTCGTCCCTTTTCGATGCACCGCCTCCTGTCATTCTCTAATTTCAATTCTACAACAACCATAGCTTCTCTGTTGATCTAATCGTCTTTCCTTATTTCTAATCTCTAACGTAACATCCGGCCTCCATGGATCTAGAATCAACCTCTGAAACCCTATGTGAAGATCTAGGTCCATCTAATGCTTGCATGGGCACGCTGATGGTGTCAGACAGTGAAATCGAGCCAGGTGATGGATTTGGTCAAGGTGTAATGGACCTTGTGGTTTCGGACACCGAAGTGGAGGTCGATGTGGATGACGGTCAAGCTCCGGTGGACCTTCTGGTTCCGGACACCGAAGAGGCATGGGATGAGGACGACGGTCAAGTTTCGATGGAGCTAGTGGTTCCGGACAGTGAAGAGGAGGAGGATGGTCAACAGGTGAATGAGGTTCAGGTTCCAGACAGTGAAAAGCAAAAGGAGAAAAGACGGAAAGAGGTGGAAATGCACCCTCTACGCTCAAATCCTCGTCTAGAGGCGTTCTTAAAAATCATCCTACACGGCTGGGAATCTAGGATGTGGGACGTGGATGTATGAGTTCTTTCGCAATCAGGGGAGTTTCTTTCTTAATCTCTTTTTGTATGTTTGAGTCCTCATATGTTTGTGTGAGGCTATTGTTGTGGACTTCTTTGTCTGCCTTGTAGTGCAGTGTTTGTGTGTAGTGCAGTGTTTGTTCTGGGGAAGCAATGATGAAAATATGGTGTTTGTTTTTCTGAATTTGTTGGTAATGATGAATATGTGGGCTGGTTAAGGAATGTGTGGTGTTTGGTTTGTATGTATCTAGGCTGCTGTCATGACCAATGCTTGTATGGGTGTTGTGATGACCACATATGATTGACCAATGCTTGTGTGGGTGGTGTGACCACCATATATGTCAGGTCATTCCTTGTATGGGTGTTGTGATGACCATATATGTCTGACCAATGCTTGCATGGGTGTTGTGATGACCATATATGATTGACCAATGCTTATATGGGTGGTGTGATGACCATATATGTCAGAGCATTCCTTGTATGGGTGTTGTGATGACCATATATGTCTGATCAATGCTTGTATGGGTGTTGTGATGACCATATATGATTGATCAATGCTTGTATGGGTGGTGTGATGACCATATATGTCAGAGCATTCCTTGTATGGGTGCTGTGATGACCATATATGTCAGAGCATTCCTTGTATGGGTGTTGTGATGACCATATATGTCTGATCAATTCCTTGTATGGGTGTTGTGATGATCATATATGATTGACCAATGCTTGTATGGATGGTGTGATGACCATATATGAGCAATGCTTGTATGGGTGGTGTGATGACCATATATGTATGACCAATGCTTGTAAGAGGCTGCTATGATGAGAAAGGTTTTTGTTATGCCACAATGATTACATATTTTCTGAGTACATTATACAAAATGACAAAAATTAGGCCTCTACAAAATCAAAAAATGTAGGCCTCTCCTACATTTAGGGCTAGTTGCTCCTATGAGTCTATTGGTTTTACATGTACACAAGTCATCTTACAGACTCTACTTGCCTATACAAAAATGACAAAAAAGGCCTATACAACAAAACCCAAAATCAGTTATCATTCAACTGCAGTTCTTCATCCAGTTCAATTATGAAATGGCCCTCACTTTCCTCTTGTGATGCTAACTATAGGCTTTGTTTCCAACACCCCTGCCTCTCTATTCTTGCTTCTTCTTTTAGATGCTACCTTTTGAATGAATGGGAACATGCCTATTTTACCATCCCAAAGTACTTTACCACTATCTGAAAATATAGGTCTGCCTACTACTCTTAGAGACATAACCTTAGTTATGAACCTCTTTGACTTACACACCCTATGAGGATCCTGCTCTTCCAAACCCATGTAGAACCTTTGTGAAGTTTTAGACATGAAAAACCATTTTTCATCAATGTGTATCACATTTTGAAAATTCTGAAATGTTGGTTTACATGGATTTGAATTGTCAAGTTGCTTGTAACAGAATTGTAGTCTGGTCAGTTTGTTTGCATCTGTTAAGAAAGGCTTAATAGCATTTGTGTGTCTTCTGAGCATACCTTGTTTTAAACATCTGTGCAAATAGTGATCCTTCGATGGAGCAAATAGTTTTAAACATCAGCAGCTAATGCCCTGATAGTGGTCCTTTTATATAGTGGGATTTCTTCGATGGAGCTTAGATCCACTTCAATCCTTTTCCTGCCAGAATTGCCAGCCCACCTAGTTCATACATTCACCCCCTCCCCTTTCTTCAGTTGGTTTTTTGCTATGGCCCATATGCTGAAAATAAATCTTCTGGTAACTCCAAATTGAGTTGCCAATTTAGTGAAAACACCTTTCTGAGCTAACAACTCCCCAAACATGTCTCTTTTTGCACTGAGTAGAATTTCATTAACTATACTCTTCCTTTCGATATTAGACAGTCTCTTACTTTTGTCGTTGCTAATTGCCTCTTGCGAATGGCCCTCATTTATTGTTGTGTGCAGGTTGGTGGGTGAAGAAGATGAAAGAGGAGCATTAATGGAAGGTGAAGGGGAATTCACATTTATGGAAGCTGCCATTTATGGAAGATGAACTGCTTATGTCATATGTTTTATGCGTGTGTGTGTGCAGTGTCTAGTGCAGTGTGTGCGCAGTGTGTGTGTAGCGTATGTAACGGTTGATAGAATAGGGAAATTGGAGTATTTGTAGTAGGGAAAATTAGAAACTCCCTCAAAAATAAGAGGGAAGGTGTATTAGAATCAAATTTTGGATGTTGTACTATTCACTTTTTGATAACATCTATCAAATCCAACTCATTTTCCCATTTACTTGAGTGGAGTAATTTTTTACCCCCTCCCCTATTCAGCCAAGCACAAGGGTGTTTATGGAAAGTCAAAGCATTTTATGTCTTGCATTAAAAAGCGGTTCAGGTCAAACTGGGAAGGATTCATAGGGACGAATGGAGTATATAATTTGGGAAAATGGGTTTTTGTATATATACCTTTGATAATGGTGAATCTATAAATAATACACTCCAAAGATAAAATTATGAAAAGTTTTGTCACATGCCATCATCTAAGTAAACCTTCATTATAATATTCTAAATTCTCTTTCCAATTTTGTATAATAAACTAGTTTTTATCACGCGCGTTGCGCGATTGGGTAATTGCCCAATGTGATTTACTTAGCAAAATATTTGACAAATTATATTATACGTAGTATATAAGTACATAGGAAGGATTTTTCAAGAGATTACATGTGTGCAACAACAACGTATTATAATCAATTTTTTGTTGTTCATACAACACCAACAAATCAAATTGTTTGACATGTGAAGGGAACCCTAAGCTATTAAATTAAATCCAAATGTATGATCATGCTCAATTTAAGTATATGGAAAACAAAAAATAAATTACTTTATCGGAATTAATTTCAAGTTAAGACAAAATGTACGTATGTCTAGCGTCTAGGAGTCTAGCCTAGTAGCCTTCTACATTTTATTTTATAATAATTACCAAAACTATAGTGAACAAATAACTTTATATACGTGTGCACTCTCAATCTTTGTATTGGATGTGAAAATAACTTGAGTTAATTTGAGTTTGCACCCCATTTTCTTGTACAAATTGGACTTTGCATCCCGTTTTTAAAAAAACTTTGTTTTTGCACCCCAACCCCATATGAAAAGACAAAAATACCTTCAATCAGGAATATGCTGAAGACCAACAAAATTGTTAATGAAGGGACATTTTTGTCTTTTCAAATGGGTTAGGGGGTGGAAAAACATTTTTTTAAAACGGGGCGCAATGTCTAATTTGGACAATTAAAT